ATGTGGTTTGGGGAGTCTATTTCAGACTTTTGTTTTCAAAGATTCCATGCAGCAGGAATGCGTGACCTGAGCAAACCTATGCGTAACCATTATTATTAAGGAAAATCTTCAGACAGACTCTAGGGCTGCTTTTGGAAGCAGAGTGCAGAAAAGCACGGAGAAAGGCATAGAAACTGAGTTGCCTGAGAGTTAGTGAAGACTCTGCAGAGAGATAGTCCGTGTGTTTGACTTGGAAGGGGCAGGTGACAGAGCAAGGAGGCTTTGTAAGTACCCGGTATACTTGTCCTGTCCTCCGGGTGTTTGCGTCCCTATCGGCTCTGAGTGTTTCTCTCAGGGCAGCTTTGTTATTCTATTACATATGGACTGTAGAACAGGGATGATGATACCTATCTGTTAAAGACGACATTTTCAGGAGGGTCGAGGGTGTAGCTCAGACGGAGGATGCTTGCCTAGCACATGGGAGGCTCTGGGTTCCATCACCAGAACCAACCACTATCGCAACAGGATCCATGAACCCACTAAAATGTCTCTTAAACATGACTGAGGGGCAAGAAGGTTCAAGTGATGCTCACGTATGTGTGGGTGTATTTGGGTACGTGCAGGCATGCGCTCTTTGCTTCTAAGCTGTTAGATTCCTGTGAGAGCAGGTCACTGAGTGATGTGAGCAATGGGAATTATCACCAAATTCACCAAAGCTGACCCATGTTCTCACCACCATCATCTTCACCATCAGTTTTGTGTTCCTGGCTAAGGGTGAAAAAGGAATATACTTTTGTCTTGGGCCAATCTAGTTGTGAAATTGCTTTTGCTATTACTAAAATCCCAAAGGATAAACGTTATCCTGGTTTGGTACTTTCCAATGGAGACCCTCTATAAAAACATCACACACACACTCATTTTTCAGAATCAATCCTCCAGGTGTTAATGGACGCCAAGTTGCCTGGAAAAAGATGCAGGAATTGTTCCGAGCACTCATTATGACTCAGCTGGTCTGGGACGATCACTGGCCAGATTCTAGTTGGGCTACTATATTGTCACTAGTAATTAACACACACTTAGCCTGTTGTGTACTTATGCTGTATATGCCGAACTATGATGGCTTAATATTGCATTCCAGCGAAAGCAGAATAAATTCCTGTCCCAGACAAATGCTGACCTGTTTGTTGACAGCCACTATCCTCAACGAAGACCAAGCAGATTATCCCAAACAACCAATTCCCAAGGCAAGAGTCTAAGTTTAGCTTAGAATGTTTTCTTATGATTTTGCTGAGGTTTAGGGGAAGATTGTGTAAATTGGGAGACGAGTTTTAAAATTTCATTAGACTAATTAAGATATGTGGTGGTGGTGTGTGTGTGGCCATGCCATGGGTGTGGAGGTCAGAGGACAACTTCCAGGAGTCAGTTCTCTCCTCCCACCATGTAGATCCGAGCAATTGAACCTGGGCTGTCAGACTTTTCGGGCAGATGCCTTTATTTACTGACCCATCTCACTGGCCAGAAAGGCAAGTTTTATATATTATTATTATTATTGTGTTCATCTCAGCTACAGTGAGGAGAGCAGTATGCTTTGTCTATTTGCTAATCTGCTTATGAAATTTGCTTTTGCTGTTATGGAAGCCAAACTATAAAGGGCGGAAACTATCCAGGGAAAGAAATTGCTCAGCAGAGACCTACGGAGGTCTACCATCAATTTCAGCACCAAGTTAGCTTTCCATGCTCTGAGTCTAGATTTCGGTATTTTCCCCATTAACCCTGCACTGTGGCTTGAGAACAAATTGCTCCCAGCTCGACCAAGTTAAGGTCAAGCTTGTCTTTTGCACCAGAAAATGAAGTTCTTCAGAAATAGAAATTGTCAAAAATACAACACGGGTATGATTTGTAAACACGTGTCCTGGGCTTAGCCAAGCACACACTGTGCTAGAGACATGAACTGGCCACAGAGCTCTTCCCGGGAATGTGCTGCTGTTTTGATATTGAGACCATAAAACCACAAGGCAATATCCTGAAAAATACTCACCTCTGTGCTCGTTCATCTCAATAAACCAGAGTCCTTGGTAGGGAGTGGAAGAAAGAGCATGACCCCAAATTAGAGATGAAAATAAACTTATGAGAAAGACATGATGTTCTCTTGGGGTCAAGAACATGTTGTGAGTTATTCCTTTATTATAGCCACAGAAAGACTGGCTAATAAGCTGCCAAAAGCGGCAGCAGCAAAAGTAACTTCATGGGTCTGTTGTGTTAACCATGGGGAAGCGATCAACACTGTTTCTCTTTCGCAACTCATTATGATCAATTCTCTAAATTGAGCTGGACATTTCCTGGGATAGGTACCCAGAATACTTTTCTTAAGCATCTTCATTTATTTCCTAGTTAGATAATATGTATGCATTTAATTGTTTAAGAGTGCCCCGATGATGGACAAGACAGTAAAGGACAAGTGTAAATGACAAAATGTGATCAATTCAACACCACCATCTAGAGTTGAAGTCTTTCTGGTGGGTAGCCATGAGCTGCGTCTCATTGAGACCATATCCTCTTAAAGTCAAGGGACTGATATTTTATCTATTTTACATTTCAATTTCAGCTAAGAGATTGCAAATAACTCATTTCCACCTTCATGGGGGATCAGCTTCCCTTCCTCCTCCCTTTCTCCTCCCTTCTCTTCTTTCCTTTTTGCTTATCATCTTTTCTATCTCCCTCTCTTCTCACAAGGGCTTGCTATGTAGTCCAGGCTGGCATCGAACTCACAATCTTCCTGACTCAGTCTCCAAGTCCTTAAATTCTTCCTTTCCTCTCGTCTTATACCTTAGGAGGCTTGTTGCAAAAGACTTGTCAACTGTTAAGCTTTTGGAGAGCATGACAGAGAGACATTAATTTTCTAAGTACTAAGAGGAAGACAACGCAGTAAACGGAGAACCAGCTATAAACCACACCTGCCCACAGCACAGACCACTCCTTCCCAAAGGTACCCTCCTACTCGCAATACCACAGAGGAGCTTGACTGTTTTTTTAGTTTTTAAATAAGCTAATTCTAAAAGTGTCTATGTAAGTTAAATATTTTCATGTACAGTATTCTGGATTTTAAAACTATATGATGGGTTGTGGTTTGCCTGCTCCTGCTTTGGTTCGTCTCCATCCATCTCTGACACACAACAGAGGATGTCCAGCGGCTGCTTGTGGACAGCGGTTTCGGGCTTTCTAAAGCTCTTCTTTCCTGGACAGTTTGTAAACTGACTGGAGATGATAAACTAGGTCCGGTGCTCTTTGCGCAGGTCTAAGTTCCTGCCTGGTAGCACTTCCCACCGGCCTGAAGAACTTTGCTTCACACAGAACATACATCTGTCTGTCCATAGCTGGGATGTAAAGTGTTCGTGTTTTTTGAGACTTGGTTCCTAAGTGGTAGTGCTCTTTGGGAAGCTGTGGAGCCATTAGGGAGTAGGGTCTGGATGGAAAAAATGGGCCACTTAGTAGGAATAAGGCTTAGTTTATAAACTGGCTCCACTTGCTGCTCTGTTTCTGCTTCCTGATCTTTCTAGAGCCAAGCAAACAGTCTCACTAAGTAGACCAGGCTGGCTTTGAACTCAGAGATCCATCTGCCTCTGCCTCCTAAGAGCCCGGATTACAGGTAGGTGACTCTACACCCAGATTCCAAGTGATTTTAATAAGAGCACAACACAATGTGGAAAACAAACAAGCAAAAAACCAACCAAACAACCCCCATCCCAGTAATCTAGCAGGTGAATGCAAGTGTTTCATCCCCCACAAATCGACGTCGGGGGCAAGTGTATGGGGTTTATATGTGTGTTGGTGTGTAGCACACAAGGCAAAATCTATCTATTAAGAGAAAAACAACTGCAGGCTCTAACAGACACTGACAAGAGCTGGCAGTACACTTGGCTGACTCTTAGATTCTATTTTTAATGTTAAATCCACACTGGTTATGTAACACTGGGCTAAAGGTTTTACATAATGACTGCTGAATGCCTTGAAACTTGGACTGTTGAGTTTATAGAACTGTTAATTCTCATTTCTTTGAAAGTTACTTCTATAGGAAATTATCGTTGCCTGGGGAAGCTGCAGTAAACAAGGGATCTTTTAAAAACACTGTTTACTTTGAATCCAAAACAACCAAAACCAAATCAAACCAAAAAACCCCCAAAAAAACAAAACCTAAAAAAAAAAAAACCCTAGTTATTTTGAGGTTCATTCATTTCTTAAAAAAGGACTCTGTACAAACATTGATTTAGCAAAGGAAATGAGCCCAACAGAGAAGCAGCAGCTGGGCAGGTCTGCTCAGTCTGCACAGTGAGAGTCCTGGTTCATCTAGGATGCCTGTTTCTGACTTCCTGGGTACTTGGCCTCTCTCTGTCCCAGGACTCTTCCGGCATTGTCACTCAAGTGTTAGTAACAGTCAACACTTGTCGGGTATTTTAAAACAAACACAGACAACTTAACCTTTCCCTCCTCAGGAAGAGTTTCACGAATCCAAACTCAATAGGAACAAAATACTATAAACAGTGAAATATATAAAGCACATTAAAAAAAAAGTCCCAGGATGGCCTTGAACTGTGTAGTTGAGGATAACCTTGAGCTTCTTTCTGATCTTCTTGTTTCCACTGAGATTAAGATGTGGGCTACTAAGACTGGTTTATGGGTGGGTGCTCGAAATAAAATGCAGAGATTTTCAAATACCAGTCAGGCACTCTGCTAGTTGAACTATACCCACAGCCCATATATATACAGTGCTATATACATACAGCACTCTTGATAAAGGATGGTACATAAATATATGGTATTGCTTTCTTTGAAACACCCCCTAAAAAGTACATATACTAAAAAGTATATGTAGATTATATATAAAGTATGCTATGTAATGTACACACTTTGAACAAAACAAATGGCAAAGTGTTGATTTCCAGTAACTGGACAAACTGTACCAACTTTTTTTTCTTACAGTGTGCTGGGCACAGAATAAGCTTCCAATTTCCATTTATTGAAGGACAGAATTAATGTGAATGTGAAAAGAAGTATTTTTGTAGATAACACCATCATTAAAATACGTAAACGAGCAAAGAAAGTCATACATTTTTATTTCAAGTGGGTGTGCTTGTGCCATGGCATGTGTGTGGACGGACGATGGGTCTTTCCATCAGGTGGATCATGAAGATGGAATAATTGAAGTTCGGTCCTCAGGATCGGTGGCAAGCACCTTTATACGCTGACTCCCGTTATTATAGATTTAAGAGTAAATTTTTTTTTCTTCCCTGATGTGATTTAATGGGCTGCTTAAAACTGTCATAAGGATCCCAGGACCTCTAAGACACAAAGAGGGATTCTTGTCTCTCCATCAAAGGACTCTAACGGCATCTTAAGGTATAGACAGTCTCTGGCTATTCAAATGGAGGATACTTGGAGAATGAGCCAGGATCATCCCTCCAGCTGGCTATGTAAATGTCAGGAGTTGTACATCCATCTACCACAGACATATTAAAAGGGTAGCAAGATCATTCCCTATATATATTTCCTTTCTTGCCTATTTCTTTGTGGAAAAATATCCCAACTTCTGCAGTGTATCAGCAGATATCTTTCAGAGGTACAGACTTGCATGTTCAGCTTTATATTTGGTGCATAGTGAAGCCTAACACATTACTCTCTTTAGCAGCGATGGTAGTTTCATTTGATCTGTCTTGCACTGAACTGAAGAGAAATACCAATGGTCCTCTTTAACACGAGAGCTCAACAACATTCACAAAGAGCATGGGAAGGACATGGAGATACCGGAGACAGAGAGGCCTGGTGACAGTGTATAAATGAGGCAGCACTAACAGATGTGTGAGGGGCAGGTCAGTTCAGGGTGCCACCTTATTAAGTTCAGCTGAAGGGGCTTCTCGATTTCCAAACATGAATCCGGCAAGCTGTTAGTGAGCAATATTTCTCATCCTAACGCCCTCAACTTTGGCACTGGTTATCCGACCAAAATTTGCATAATCCTAGTACTACTACTAGAATTTACACTTTCTCATTTGCAATCATGTTTTGATACATAAAATCCTTGAAATATTTGACAGTCACAGGTAGAACTGGGAGCTTACTGCCTCTGTGGAAGTTCCAGAAGCACCTCCACCCAATTTTAATTCAATTTCCACAATGCTGAGACTGACACAATCTGGTTGTAGTCACCATTCAGCCTGTGCCAACTGAACACAGGGTAACTAGGGAAAGCACTGTCAGGACTGGAGGAAGCCAGCTCTAACAGGCTGTGTTCAGAGTCTCCCTGGTGACTGGAAACAGGGAGGGTGGGGGCAGCAGGATGAAGATGAGGAGTTATTCTTATTCACTGCCACAAAAGCTGGGAAAAAGATAAACCTCAAGTCACCAAAGGCCATTATTTCCTTAAAGTGTTTTCAAAATAAACACATGATCAATCTTCAGAACAATACATGGCCATGGATGTGTTAATAGAGCCAGGAAAAAGGGTATTTGGGACAACGCTTGAGTACTGTATAATCAAGACCCAGGAGGACTGACATGTTTCCAGTTTCCAGGCCAAAATAAAATAAAAAGAACCCTCCCTCCCCCATACAAAAAACACCCCAGAACCAAAAAAGAACAGTAGGGATGGTGGGGTGAGGGGGCAGGGATGGCGGGGTGAGGGGGTAGGGATAATGGGGTGAGGCATTTGAGTACTCTCTGAAGCAGAGACTATAAGGCATGAGTCTCAAATAAAGAAAGAAATCCCAAATATACAACTCTAAACATATTATCAATGTTTAATGTTTAGAGGATTCAGTAACAAATCAATTGAAGATCTTTTACTTAAACTAGCTTTATTTCCTCTGAATTTTTCTAAGAGTTAGAAATTTACCATTACACTCACTGCTTTAGAATCGTCAGATTTTACTTCTGAAAAAATCTAATACTTTTAAAAATTATAATTTTAATGTTAGCACAAAATTTACTTCCTAACATTTTGTTTTAGAAAACTTTCTGCAGCCAAAGATACCTATGTTTGAATTACAGTACTGCAAGGCACATACAGGACTCAACTCCTGTGAAACACACAGGAGATACACTCCCTAAAACAGGATTTAAGGTCCTTGGACAACTGGAAATACTACAAAGTCAGGTTAAAAACACTGCCCTTACAGGGTCATGCACCTTCTGTAAATTCATTCACCATGTGTGTGTAAATAATCCTTTAAAAGACACTAGTTCTTGAAACCAAGAGTGATGCTGAGAACAGCATGCGCAGAAGGCCCCAAGTCTGGCAGCTGAAGTTTAAACTGTTATTGCCTCCAGAGACTGGTCATCTTTACTGTTTCCAAAGACTTGAATTTAATAATGGGGTAATTCTACCAGAAACAAAGATTTTCATTTTTCTTAAAACAATATATATATATTGAAACTCTAGCATCAATTCTTTTATAAAGAATGCTAACTGGATTATTTTCGTTCAGTAAAACCGAAAATCCACCATTTAAATCCTTCTACCAAATCTAATGCAGCTTAATTAGGGACCAGGTATGCTTTTTTCCTCTCAACATTTTTGGTCAAGCGTGTCTAACCATAAATGCAAATGGAAGTTTAAGAGGTAGATTTTTTTTCCATGATGCATTTTGTATTTCAAGAAAATAAAAACACTGAGTGTGTTTTCTTAAAGTATTTGGGTCTAATGAAAAGAAAAATAAAAGATAGATATGCTATCCGTTACAGCCTGACATTTTAACAGCCATAGTACTGGATGTTTTGTGACCAGATGCATTTTCAATTCTCTCAGGGTCAAAATACGAGTCTGCCAACTGTATTAAATCCTCCTCCACCCCCTCCACCAGTTGGCCCACAGCTCCCTGGTGGATCATTGTCATCAAATCCATTGGGCCGAAATGAACATGAAGCAGATGCAGCTTGTAGGGCCCGGGCTCGAGCATTCAACTCTTGTTCCTAAAATTAAAAGTAATGTTTATGAAATTAAAAAGCTATATACAATGGATGAATACAGCACATATACAAATCTTCTAAAACCATCTTAGTTTTTACCAAGTACCCTTCATTTGAAAATACTGACATCAATCCAGGCATAATGTCGCACGCCTTTAATCCCAGCACTAGGGAAGCAGAGGCAGGTGGACCTTTGAGTTCTAGGCCAGCCTGGTCTACAGAGGGTTCCAGGACAGCAAAGGCTACACAGAGAAACCCTGTCTCGAAAAATCAAAAATGATGAAATAAAAACTGACATCATTTTTTTAAAGTAGTTATCACTTAGGCGCACAAACCACCTTTGTGAACACAACCACCTTTGGAGGAAACAAGGCAGAGGGCAAATTCCTGTAGTTAGTTGTAGAGTGACAGACCCTGAAAATCACTGCTACTATTTATTTCACCTAACAACTAAGGAAGGGGAAGCTCCTGGGAAACCTCCTAATCCAATGGCAGTCTTTAACAGCTATGATGCAGTTTGGAACTGTCTGAGCGCAACACTACTAAAGGCCCGGATTTTCCCTACTGCTCCCTTAGTCTACTTAAGGAGTCAGGCAAATCTCAAGGAACAACGATAAGTAAAATGAAGCTATCTTCTTACAGTGGGACTTAGGACTCTTTCCTACTAGTTTAATAGAGTGCTTACCAGGAAATCAGAGATATCTGTCTATGTGCCAAGTGCATATTAGGTGCTGAATAAATCCTAATACTTTTATTTTAGAACAGTATTTACTGGGAAGGTGAGCTGGCCTGGAGTATTTCTGGAACCCACATGGCAAAGTGATGATGACTCCCATAAACTGTTCTCATTTCCACATGTGAACAACACACACGTTGTGTATATATATATATATATATATATATATATATATATATACACACACACACACACACACACACACACACACACACACGCTCATGCAAAAAAATTGTAAAAAGGTCATTATTCAGTTTTACAAAGAGCAATTGTGAATAGATAGTGGCAGAGTCATCGGGCAGCGTGTAAAACTGGACCCTAAAAGAACAGGGAAAAGAAGGGCCACTCACGCTCAAATGCCATGTGGCCAGAGGGAATGGGTAAGCCAGAACACAAGGATCTGGACTGCATTCCAAGTAGGAGCAGCTGTGGCCATAAAACACGCTTGCCAGTTCAATGACGGCTGAACCTCCTAACTGATAATCTGTTGACAAGGGAAGGGTGGAGTGGGCCTTGCACTACCGTACAGTTCGTGCTGTACATTTTCCCTCTGCTCTTCCTTCTCCCTCTTCGACCTCTAAACACTGTGGTGATTCACAATGTCAAGAGACACAAGGCCAGGGAGATGGACACGTCCTGCTTTTTCACCTGGATATGAAGCCACAAGAATGGGTACAGTCCAGTTCTAAAATTCTAATTATTTTATAAAGTCAATTAATGCTTGCAACACTCTAAAACATTGCCATACCCCTCTAAAATTTATCATGTATCACCCTTTGGATATTTATAGTTCAGTAAATTTGAAAGCCTCTGAAAAAAATTTTCCACAAAAATCTGTTAATGGCTCATTTATTCCCTTCTAATATTTTATGGGTTCTGTGAACTTAAAACAGAAAACTTTTAAAAAGTTACCTTTAAGCTCATAGAATTATTTGAACTAGCCACTCATTATTTCTATAATTTCATCTGTGAATTAGTGCTGATCCTTTTTTTGTTTTGGGGACTGGGTTTCTTTATGTGGCATATGCTGTTTCCAACTCGCAATCTTCCTGCCTGCAGTTCCTTAGCGCTGGATTGCAGGCATAGGAAACCACCACCACTCCTAGCTTCTGCTGGCTCTTTTGCTGACACAAGTTTGAAAATTTCACAATCAAATAAAGAAAATAGTTTCTTAAAAAATATTCATAGATGAATTTATCTCTCATGAAATGTTAGTCCACAGCTTCTACTTTCTATACATGTTCTATCGGCCTTGGCTCTGTGGCAGACCCTTGAAGAACAGATGCCCTTCACATGCTCATTTTAGTTCATCTGATCTGTCTGAATGCCAAGAAATGTTCCCTAAAACACTACAGGAAAGAGCCTGCAGGAATTGGCATCAAACTGAGCTGTGGGATGGTGAGGTGATTCGGAGTGTCTGCTCTGCGGGCCTAAGGTCTTAGTTCAACAGACCCTATGAGAGGAAGAAAGAGATAACTGGCTCTACAGAGCTGTCCCTGACTTCCATGTGTGCACCACTCCCCACAGTAAATAAAAACAGAAAAGTTAGCAGGTGTTTTCCCTGCGGTGGAACTCAGGGACAGGGGAAGCAGGACATTTACATTCCATCAAACTGTTTCTGTATGGCATGATTTTATAATCTTCTCTAATAAACACCCGAGACAGAGCTCTGAAGGCAAACAGCCTTCTATATTCATATAATTGGCACCCTCCACACTATGTTTACAACAAGCTGAAAGATATAAATCCAGACTTAAGCTTCAGTATCCCTGGAAAATGTGTTCGTGTAAAATCAGAGCATCAGAGTAACTTCCTATTATTTATGCTGTCCAGAAATGACACTTGTATTTGCAACTCACCTGTAAATACAGTTTGTTGTCCTTCGTTATGGCGTCCATTAGCTCTTTCTGTAGTGGTGGGTCTCCATTGACCCAGACACCACTGGCTGGATTGTCGCTGCGTAAGCCATTAGCACTGTTCTGTTTTTTGTACAAAAGCACGTAAGCTGTGTCTTTTGGAAATCTACTTGTGATTTTCTGGACTGACTGAAAGGAAGTAAATGTCACCCTGCTGTCATTAAATAAAAACCACTCTTGTGACATTTCCTTATTTTCCAAGTCCTGTTCAATGACTGCACTGGAGCTTTCTCCCCCTAGTAAACAACTCTGGGAGGGGGCTAATGCCAGATGTTCAGACTCGGGGCACATCTGGTATGAAGACTCTGTACCTGTGATGTTTCTGGCATAAGAATAGTAATGTCCACTTTCAGAGGACACCCCAGAGTGCACAACAACAGAACTTAATAGGTAGGGCACTAGTGTGGGGCAGAAAGCTTCTTCAGTCGCAGAAGGCTTTAATTTTTTAGCTAGGTTCTCATTAATATCAGTGAAGTCAACATCTACAGACCAACTTTCTGCCAAGGAAGAGAAGGAAGCAGTTCTTCTAACTGGCAACTCCAAAGCCAGTGGCAGTGACACATTGTCTAGGATCTTCCTTCTCACATGGTACTTCTGGTCATATGAGAACCTCAGGAGGGTAAGAATAAGGTATTCAGGCTCCTCTGTGATTTGCATAGTTTTTTCAGCATTCTGCAGAGAGGCACAGTTTTCACAATAGTATTGGTTGTCACCAGTCAGAATTTCTGGAGCCAGAAAATAGTTTAGTAAGTCAGTTACCGAAGGTGTGGCTTCACCTCCTGGATTCTGAGGCACATCCTTACTGATGAGAATCTTTGCAGACTCACTAGGGACAGAATTGTTTTCTGCACAGTGAAATTCAACAGGAGGACTGCCTACTACTCTCTCATTCACAATCGAGTCGCAGATGAAAGCAGCTGTAGCCGGGTTATAAACTACTGGCTCTTCCTCTGGGTCAGCCACACTGGTTTGCATTAGGCCATCATCTTGTGCACTGGGTAAGGAAGCTGGATTTTGAAAAGACACGTCTTCCACAGAAGGGGCAGGGCGAAAGGCCAGCGAGAGGTCTGTGAAAGCCTCCAGCTTCTGTGAGGTGCTCCTGCAGTTCAGGCAGCAGACATGGGTCCGCAGCTTCCCTCCAAACATCCTCTCTACTAAAGTCTTCTCCTCACCGGCACTGGTGCCAGGAGACCCCGTGGCTGCAGCTGCCTTACTGGCCACTTCCTGTAAAGAAGTGTCAGCACAGCCTGGACCTTCCGAAGGCTCATGTGGGGACTGCATGCGTAAGATCTTTTCTTCTTCATGGAGCCTGCAGGAGGGTACATCACCACATAGCCAAGTTTAATGCTACTTATATTTTGAGATCTTGATGGCTTATAGAAATGTTAATTTAATCCAGTAAAAAAGCTCAATTTAAAGTTGTTTTCTCCTTTGTTCATCAAGAGTATGAACGGTAGAGTCCAGCAAAGCCTTAGAAGACTACCCGGCACTCTACGTTCACTTTGCTGCCCTTGCACTGCTGTCTTACAGCCCAAGTCCCACTGGAGCCAACTCCAATCGCTGCTGCGCTGTCTCACACACCTCTCCATGTGCCTGATGTCTTGGCAGCCTAGCACTAAGAAACCACTGACTGTAGGAAAGAAGGCAGGCTGTGCAGGCTGAGCCCGGCTAACTTTACTAGTCAGTCATACTACAGAGAGGAACAAAGACAGAGAAATGCACTGATATAATATGTTTTATTATTAAGTGGTAAAAATACACTATAACTTATCAAACCCTTAAAATTATAAATTGGCTCTTAAGAGGTTTTGTTCTCAGGGTCTCTTTATAGTCATTAAAAAAAACCAAAACCAAAACAAACCCTAAGGAACCAGCACCCCAAGTTGGCGCTGTTCTGGATGTTCTGGAAGGTCATGGAACATTTAGGAGGTGTAGCCTTCCTTGCTGGAGTACATTGCCTCAGCTTTGAAGTCTTTCTAGCCTGGCCCCACCTCCTGCGTTCACTCTGCTTCCCAACTGCCAGGCCGACCTTAAATTCCTGCTGCCATACCTTCTCTGCCTCTCTGCAATTGTGAGTCAAAATTACCTTTTCCCTTAAAGTTGATTTTGGCCATGGTATTTTATCAACTGTTAGAAAAGTAACCAACACACACACACGCACGCACGCACGCACGCATGTATGTGCATATATATGTTGGTTAAATGTATATATGTATATGTACACACGTATGTATATATATTTAGTATATAAAAACAGAATATATATAAAACTATTTAAACATGAATTCATTACATATCAATATGCAGCATTTTTAAATGAATGGCACTCCTTCACATTTTGTAAGCATCTAGCTTCATAGAAGACAGCTGGATATTGGTAGCTGTACTGCAACCTTTCTTACCGATATCTGCTTTTTAAAGATGAAATATGTGAAGAAAAGCTAAGTTCCCATAGAAATGTAGTGAAAAAAATGGGAGGACTCAAAAGACTTTTAAGGGTCCCTTATGAATCTTCTACTATCTTTCAACAGGTACTTTAAAGTGAAAGCATCCAAAACAAAAACCAAATTAAAAACAAAGAAAAACCTTAAAAACACACAGTAACACAAGGTTATTTTAGAGATCAATTCTGAAAAAGTGTGCTTTAAAGCTAAAATCGGCATGAAGTGGCACTAAAGTACTAAGAAGACACAGTTTAAAGGAAGTTTAAAATACTCTGTACCTGTCCAGCAGAAACCTGAGGTACTCAGAGCAATCTTGCTGCGACCTGGGAGTAAACCACGGAGGTCTGGAAGCCTCAAAAAATATCCGAGGTGCATATGCTTCCCTCTTGACAGCAGAAAGAAAAATGCAAGACAGTGACTCTTATAGCACACCAGTAACTGAACCTGCAACATGACCCTTAATAAAGACGGCTTACAGCTCTACAGCACTCCATTTGCACGGAGACACGCCAGGAATGGGTGCAAACTCAGGGGCAGTGAAACTTTTATGTTAAGCAACCTTTAGTCACAAATGAATTCTGCAGAGAACTGACGTCCAAAAAAAGCTGAGGGACTAGCTCAGCCAAGTTGACAGCAGGGTGATTAAATAAGGTCTCAGATGTCTCTAACTCAACATTCTGTCTCTGGCATTTATCCCCCCATGACACGCATGTGTTTGAGTCCCTGATTTCTTTTGAAAAGCTGAGTGTGAGAATGATACTGATGAGTGGTGTGTGTTTGTGTGTGTGTGTGTGGGGGGGTGACAGAGCACTAGGAGCCATCTAAATCTACTTAGCTGAAATTTTCTGTCTGGTGTAAGTCATACACGTGTGAAATGGGAGCATTTGGAGTAGTTGTTAGAACCTTGATAATCCCCTCCTACCCAGAAGTACAAAGGCAGTTGAAATGGACTCTGGGGCCATCAGGCTCAAATCCCAGATGTTTTCACAAAAAGGAACTGCACAGACACAGGAAATGACCTATGATCTGAATACCTGGAATTCTCTCAATATCTTAAATACTGTGGCATAAAGCAACAGCGCCTTCTTAGTCCAGGAAAATGTTACGTGTTAGGGTTGTTTCACAGCACTTTAAAGGGAGGAAGGTCAAAATCCTAGCTGGGTGCCAACTTCAAGTTAAGCTCATTTTTCTCAGTCAACTGGAGACATATTTTTATCAACATAGATTACAGATCCTCCTAAATGCTGGGATTAAAGGCGTGTGCCACCACTTCCACCATGAAGCTATTCTTTCATTCTTGAGAGCAGGGAAACCTTCGAAGGTTTTCTTTCCTAATAGCTCTGGTTTAATAAGTAAATAACGTATACATATCTGCATAAATACACATACATGTTTATGTATAAAGTAAACATTTAGTTAAATAATTAAATGACTAAATTTCTAGAAAACAATAGGAGAGGAGAGGTTTTTGTTTTGGTTATGATTTAGTACTGCTTTTGTCGCCCGTCTGATCCTCTTGCCCCACCTCCTGTATACTGAGATTACAAGGGTGTGCCACCACACCTGGCTAAGAGGCAGTCTTTGGTCTTGATGTCAATTTGTTAACATATTTCTCCCAGAAAAACAACATATGAGTGTATTACCAGTTCTAAAGTCATGATTGTCACCTCTTGATCCTGTTTTTATTTTTCCCATTTAAAAATATTTGATCTGTATTCCTGGCACTTAAGAGGCAGAGGCAGGAGGATCAGGAATTCAAAGCCAGCCTTGGTTACACAGTTTGAGGCTACCTTGTATCATATGTGATCTGTCTCAAAGCAAATTATCCCTGAGATATTTCTCAGCTTGCAAGAGGGACACAAGCATTGCCACGAACTCAATCCTATCAAGTATCATTCCTGCTTTATTCCAGCTCTAACTACCTGTAGTCACTGCCTCAAGCTGATTTCCCTGAATTAATTTGTGGATATAAAAGGTCACCACAGAGTGTTAATGCAAGGACTTACGAGATGAATAATATTTATAAAGACCTGTAATTACAATGAAAGATACATAAAAGAAAATAGAGAAAGGCTGGGCATGATGACTGGTGCATACCTTTAGAGGCAGAGGCAGGCAGATGAACAAGAGTTCAAGACCAACCTCAAACGACACAGAGAAACCCTGTCATGGAAAACCAAAGAGAAAAAAGTCTAGACTACAAAATTATTTTAATTGTTCATTATTATATCAATATATTTAAGTCTCTGTAAACTAAAAAAAAAAACAAAAACAAAAATCAAGCCACACCAAAAGAAATCTCAACCACATTTACATCTTTTCTTTCCCATTCCTCCCTCTTTTTGAGACAGGGTCTTGCTATATGCACAGCCCAGACAGGTCCTCAGCTCACTGCAGCCTTTCGAGTGCTGGGAGGACAGGTGTTTGCCACTAAGCCTAGTTTTAAAATTCTTTCCTCATGAAGAAGACTGCTTAGTGACAGGAAATTAGACTTTCTGTATAGTAGGTTTTAGAGCAATATATCTGCAGGGATGGGAAGCAGAAGATGAGATAAGTGTGCTCGGTATTTAGGCAGGACCCCTGAGGACTGGTAGATGTCTTATCCTGGGTAAGACATGACAATAATTCCAGCAGTTCAAAAGACCCATTATAGTGTGTAGTTTAAAGAACATTATCATGGAGTTAATATGCACATATTACAGATACTCACTTGTGTATGAGCCAAAAAGGCAAAAAGATGTTGTAATTTTTTCATTAATGAATTACACCCATTTAGATTTAAAGATAACACTTGTCTTCTGAAACTGAAAAAGAACAAAATATGTTATACATATACACATGCACTTTTTACAAGAAAAGCTAAAAGGAAACTGGTTTGGGAATTATTAGCCTCAGTTACCTGACTTACAGGGTGGCCTTTAGCTAATATTTACATTTAATGTAATACACATGTAATATTGTGAAGGAGGACAATAAATGGATGGACTATATGCTATTTCGAGACAGGGTTTCTCTGTGTAGCCCAAGTTGTCCTACAATTTTCTTTGTAGACCAGGCTGGACCTCCTGAACTCAGAGAGATCCCCCTGCTTCTGCCTCCTGAGTGTTGGGATTAAAGGTGTGCACTGCCTCCTGGCTTTTATTCTTCCTCTTCTTCTTCTTTTTTTAAATAAAAGTAAATCTTGAACATAAAAGAAGTATGATGCAAGCCACGTTTGGTGGCATATACCTGTAAAGCATCATTCAGTAGGCAAAGGGGAAATATGAGTTGAAGCCAGTCTGGCTACCGAGTGAGTTCCAGGCTAACACTGGAAGAAGGGAGGGAGAGGGTGAGTTTACTCAAACAAATAAAACAAGAGTCTAAAAGAAGAAACACACACACAAAAGGGACAAATTATTCCAAAAATAGTATAGAAATAATTGGTTAAACATCAGAAAAAAAAATCACTTCAAAGTAAAAAGGGATTTTTTTTTGTGGGGCTAAACTCTAGACAATACAAAAATTAAAACAAAAATATGTAATAAAATACTATAAATTTGAATTGCATGACTGGAAGAAAGCAAACACCACAGGATTATCATACAGAATTTATACAAATTGACATGAAGTAAACAAAACATCAACAGAAAGACATACACAGAAAATAATAGCTCATTCATTTCATTCTGCTCTGAGTAAAGGGGAAAATTCCACAAAGGTCAGCAATGTTCACATAGAAACACAAGGACTAACTAACTGCGAGCAGGCTGTGCACATGTAGTGCGTAATCCTCAGAGACTGATGCGGGAGGATCAGGAGTTTGAGGTCAGGCTGGGCAAGACCCTATCTTTTCTAAAAATAAGAAAACAAGAATGACGTTTGCCAAATTGTGAAAAATTTAAGACCAATTAAATCAAGTGCTGTCAGAGGTTTAAGGTCACAGGTACAATCATATACTGTCCATAAGGTCAAATCTGGCTGAGGAGATGGCCAGTGGGAAAGGTGAAGACCTCAGCTCACATCTGCAGCTCTCATGTGAAAGACGGGCAAGATGTTTCTCTCCCATATCCCAACACTGTGGGCTAAAGACAAGCAGATTCTGGGAGCCTGCTGCCAGTCAGTCCCGCTGCAGCAGGGAGCCCCAGGTTCCATGAGTGCCATGAGGTGAAGAAGCAATTAAGGAGACATCTGGACTCCACATGCGTCTGCAGGGTGAACAATCCTCATCTGACCCCTACAGTGTTTAAGGGAGAGTAATTTGGCATGTCGTAGTCAAAGAAAACCTTATCTGCACATGGTTAGAGAAATGTCCGCTATGAACAAAACTATCTGATGGTCAGCAAAAAAGTATAGGTAAGGGGATGTCAGGCTAGCAAGATGGTTCAGTGGGAAGGTACTTTTGCCACACAAGTCTGGAGATCTGAGTTCCAGTCCTGGAACCCATGACTAAAGGTGGAAGGAGAAAGTGGACTCCTTCTGGTTTCTCCATGCATGTCACGACATGCATACATGTTCCCATCCCACATTAACAAATACATTTAAAGCAAAAACATATAAATAAAAACTATGTCCTACTCACTCAGAGTAACAGATCTGTATTGCTCTCACATAGAAAAGTTCTTAAGTGCTAAAATTTCAACAAGATTCTCTCAACATGTGTGTGGACACATACTAATCATATGTAACTGTTTTTGTATTAGATAATTATAGAAAAATAATCTGGAGCAATGCACATAGCTGACATTTTTGAGAATGTATGCACTTGGTTTTTATGAGGGTATGTTTTTAAAACCATGAATAAGAATTCATGCATTCCTTAAGAGTTCTTCCTGTTCTGAGATACCACCACAATGCTTTCTAGTTACAGTTGCTTTTGGTCCCTACTTTGCATAGTAGGAGATGGCTGGCAAGGTGACCTCTGGTGGTGAGATGTGGATTCTTCAGTCTTAGATCTAATGCCACCTGTGTCTAAGAGTACACCTTTATTTAAAACAACAACAAAAGTTACCAAATACAAACCAACCAACAACAAAACCTAATGAAACCCTACCGGGTTCTTATAATCAGGGACAAACACAGAAACCTAAAGCTAAGCCCCCTAAGAGCCTGATGCCTCCAGGTGGGTGTTAACATCTCCCATCTTGGAGTCAGCTTAACTCTATTGACACTAAGAGAAAAATACATTTTTTTTTTAAAAGGAAAAGTTGACTATAATGTTCCTCATCTATGTCAAAAAAAAAATTACAGATTTATAATAGTCAAACTTAAGGTCATGTTAGTTAGGTTTTCTAGATAGACTGATATATTTTAGATAGACAGGCATCTTCAAACCCTTCAAAGACCTATAGAATATGCATTTAATGTTTTAATAACTTAGAATTCTTTTGGTGTGAGACACATCTGCTCCTGGAAGCACCGATCTACTTCTGAGAGCAGGATGGGTACTGAAGACACTCCATATGGAGTTTGTTTTCTTCTTGCCAAAAACTGGCCCGAGCAATAGACCAAATGGTTTGTAATTAATATTAAGCCTCTGAGTGATTATTTTAAAAGTGGCTGTGGAACTGGGTGGGACAGAAAAACCTCCGTTTACAAACAACCTAAGCTTTCATAATTAATAAGAGGTCTCTGTGGTATTACTTGGGAGCTGGCTATCAGGACAGAGAAAGTCTTTTTACAGGCAATGTCAACATTCATGCCACTTTCATGGGAGGGGTGATTCTTGCCTTCTCAGCATGTATTCATTTCTAGTTAAGTCAGAACACTCACAAGTAAACTTACTCTGTAGCCATAAACAATGCTTGTAAAACACTGTTCATGTAACATGTGTTTCCCAGGTTAATAAGACCAGTTTTCCCAGTTTCAGATTTTCCAGAAAGTCTAGACAAGCAAGACGCCAAAGCATTGGATTGAGAAGTCCAGGCACTTTGATTGAGAATCAACTTAATCTTCTCTTCACTGGGTTTAGGAAAATCCTAGGTCATAATGAAAAAGAAAAAATAAGTTTAAAAGTAAAGTAAAAGCTATGTTTCAAATTAAGAAGCTAATACCATAATAAGGATTTTCCCCACTGACATTTAAGCTTTTTTTGCTCTCACTCATTTTGTATATTACTGACAGCATTCGGTCAGCCCTAAGAAAATTAAATTATATTTTGGGGTGCCAGCTAATTTTGATGGTCAGCTTGACTGAATTAAAAACAAGGAGGAGTTAATCAGGTACACTTCTGGGTATGTGCATGATGGTGTCTCTAGACTGGCTTAACTGAGGGGACAGACTCACCTTGAATGTGGGCTATGCTATCCCAGGGCCCAGGACTAAATAACACAAAAGGAAAAGGAAAAAGCTAGCTGAGTGCTGATATTCACCTTTCTCTGCTTCCTGCTCTTCTCGGGGTGGATGACCCTCGAATTATAGCTGAGAGCTGCTCTTGCTACCATGATCCCTACAGTGATGAAGTAGGCCCTCAGAATGAAAGTCAAAAGAATCCGTCCTCCTTTACGTGGCTTCTTGACATTAAGCTCATCACAAGCAGAACAGTAATAGACATGGGAAACAAATGTCTTCTAAAATCTTAAGGAGGTTTATTTATTTATTTATTTGAGACAAAATCTGAATCTGTAGCCCAAGCTTGGCTTGAACTCACAATAATCCTCTTGCCTCAGTATCCCAAGTGTTGAGATCACAAACATGAGATAACATGCTTGTCTTAAAATACTTTAAAGTTAGCCAGGCGGTGGTGGCGCACGCCTTTAATCCCAGCACACGGGAGGCAGAGGCAGGCGGATCTCTGTGAGTTCGAGGCCAGCCTGGTTTACAAGAGCTAGTTCCAGGACAGGAACCAAAAGCTACAGAGAAACCCTGTCTCGAAAATCCAAAAAAAAAAAAAAAAAAATACTTTAAAGTTGAAGGAACAAGAAATTCAAATCACATGTCAGTTACTTGTATCCAAAGTCTGGTTCACTGCTCACTTAGTAGTACTCAGGACTAACCCTAGAAATGAGGGCCTAGAGTAGGAGTGACAAGTCAGGTTAGCATAAGGACCTCAGACTATGAAAAGTAAAACTCAATCTCATGTTTTGCCACCTAGAAAATCACCACTACAGCCAAGTAGTACTGCACACCTTTAATCCCAGCATTTGGGAGGCAGAGGCAGGCAGATCTCTGAGTTCAAGACCAGACTGGTCTACAGAGCGAGTTCCAGGACAGCCAGGTCTATACAGAAAAACCCCGTTTTGAAAAACAAAAACAAAACAAAACAAAAAATTAAAAAAAAAAAGAAAAGGAAAACACTATGACATAGCCTTCTTCTTTAGTAACAAAGTAAATAATGTAGTAAGCAGAAAATGAAATAGAAATTGAAGTGTAAATGACTTCACACTCAAATAGAGCAATGGGCAATAAGAACCCTAGAAAATCACTTATGCTTAAATGATTAGCTTTTCTAGACTGAGATTACCATCTAATGCTCACACTACAGAAATCTAACACTTCGACATAGCATTTTAAGACGCCCCTCCCCACCCCTTTCTTTTGTCTGTTGGCAGCTGGTAGAAATACTTTCCTTAGCCTGAGAGCTCCTTTGGAGATGCACTGAAAAACTGAAGAGTGTCAGTCAACAAAATGGCAGCAATGAGGGCAGACAGTAATGACCTATCACGTCCGTGGCAAAACTTCCGTATGTAATCTACTTCTGAGAGGGCAGGGTCATACCAGCACCACAGAGGCCTAATAGCATTTTGTTTTAGACTCAGTCCTTAGTCTGAATTAGCTGGATATAAAAATATTCTTAATATCCCTTACACATATGGGTAGTAAGGCAATGTGGTCTGTATATTGTATTTCCAACATTAATATCACGATTAGAATTGGTATTTAGTAACTTCTGATTAAGCCTGACTGAATTAAGTTTTTCAATTCTTTGACGATACTCTGATTTTCTAGTCAACCATTTTGCAATACAGACAGAAGCAACACTTTCTTGAACCTGCCATTTATTGAATTTGAAAAACAAGGTAAACAAATATAGACATTCACAAAGTCTACAACACAAAAGAAAACCAAAATAGAGAGGGAGCCAGTCAAGTATTTCCTTGATTCCAAGATCGATTTAACTGTTCAACATTTCTGATACTGAGATGCAAAACTGAAATATGTACACATTCAATGTAACATACTGTCACTAGCCAGTTCCTTTAACAGCTTTATAAATTTAAAGGAACATATTTTACTTGATGGCACCACAGAGCTAAGAAACGTGCCTACTGATTTAGAATGGTGGTGTCAAAAAAGAATGAAATCATTTTTTTTTCTAATTCATTTTTTTTTTTCATTTTACGTACTAGCTCTAGTTCCTAGTTTCCACTCCTTCCTCCCCTCCCACCCTCCACCTTTCCCCATCCCACCCCCATTCACTCCCTTGGGGAGTCAACTATGTCTGGTATACCAAGTTAAGGCAGGACCAAGCCTTTCTGCCCTGTATCAAGGCTGAGCAAGTGAAATCACCACCTTAAAAGCAGCTCATTATATAAAATAATACATTTGCCAGACTGGTCCGTTACAGTGTGTGCAGCTCACAGGACTGGTACACAGCCATCATACCTTTACTGCCTCCAGAATAGGTTCGTAGAGATCTGGAAATCCGGAGTAGTGATACATCATACAGTGCACCAACTCCGTTACCTGCACTAAGAAGGCTGTGCTAGAAGGCAGGCCATCACTTCTGAAGGAGTGAACCAAGTTCACTACATGAGGAACAATCTGAAGAGAAAAGAGAAGCATTCTGTTCACACAAGCTGACAGCACATCCCCAGCATACAGACAGAACGCAATGGTTATATGATTAGCATATACTTTTCTGTATGTTTAGTCATGTTTTTCTTAATGAAGTCACATAATTGTAATCATGTTAAAAATGTATTATTTATATGTATGTGTCTGGAATCACTGTCTCCCACATGTGTATAGGTGCCTATAGAGAACAGAGGATGGGTAGAATTCTCCTGCAGCTGGAGTTACAGGTGGCTGTCAGCTACTCGGCTCCTCTGGCGAGCACTGTTAACTGTTGAACCATTTTTCCAGCTCCTGTAATCTCATTTAATACTCTTCTCCCTCCGCTCAGCATAAAGTGTATGTCACCAAGCCCAAAAACCTATGGAACCTCCACGGTGGAACTCACTGTCAAATTGTCCTGATTTCCACACATACATTATAACACAGACATATAGACACAAACATACACATATCATAAATAAATAATAATAAAAGGGCCTGTGAGTTGCCTTTGTAGGTTAAGGTGTTTACTAACAAGCTTGAGGACCAGAGTTCAGTCCCCAGAACCCATATGGTAGAAAAAGAGAACCAACCTCCATAAATTGTCTTTTGACCTCTGTAACGTGTGTCATGGTATGTATACAATCCACCTAAAATACCAACTAGGTGTAATATAGAAGCTTCAGTCATTGTTGCATTTAAAAATGCCATCAGTTGAAAAATGTTATGGTTATTCTATTGACTAGATAATTTTTTTAAAAACTGTTTTGGGGTACTAAGGCTCATGCCTCACCTTTTTATGCCAGACAAGTGCTCTACTATCCGAGTAACAACCACAACCCAACCAGATTATTTAACAGAACATTAAAAATCCCAACCTGGAATCAGTGAAAGAGCTCCATCTAGTGTAAGTTTGAGTTTAAAATTTTCAGTTGAAAAAATTACATATTTTGCATAGCAATGTGAACTCCAAGAAAGTCTCTGAAATAACTTACATATGTAACTAAAATTGTGGTCAGATATCAGGATTATATTGTTTGATAAGCACATGAATGATACCTTAGATTAAACAGAATCCTTATTTACAAACAGCTGCTCCAAAAATAAAGCCAATCAAAAACATCTACTATTTTTAAGAAACTGGAAATAAAAATTGGAAAAATTTAAATGCTCATTATTTATAAAAATCTTGAAAATATTTAATATTGATAACCAGTACAATAATGATCTTTCATTTAAAATCAGTCTAAAAGCCAACTCATACAAAGATTTAAGACAATATAATCAAAAAAGAAACATTTTATTTTACAGAAATGACTATTATTATGATAGAACGCTTTTCAATTTTTAATTATTAATAATTATTAAACTAATTATTAATCACAATCTGATATTACATATGTATAACTTCTGAAACCTTAGTGTCTCAGGTTCCGTATGCAGAACATCACCGCAGCCCCAAATCAGTACTAAGAACAGCTGGTACTGGCCCAGTCAGCAGTCAGATTCTTCAGTCAACAGTAATATCTGCCCTGCACTGTCTGGATTTATTCTGTTAAACGCATTAAATCATAGGGTAGCTTTTATGCCACCTTCTTTAAACTCAATTCTATGACAGTTACTGATAAGGTCAAACTAGTTTTAAATTTATGATTTTAAAATTTAACTTTTTATTAACTGAAATTGTTCTTAAGGCAATTCAAACATATATAAACATTCTAATTATTCTCATTCCACACCCTCTCTCTTCCTAAAAAAGTTTTAGTTTATGTATTTGGGTGTTTTCCCTGCATGTACGCTCATGTACCACATGCATCCCTGGCCTGGTGCCCACAGGGTGTCAGATGCCCTGGAACTGGAGTTATAGATAGTTTTAAGTCCTATGTGGGTGCTGGGAATTAAACCTAGGTCCACTGGAAGACAAGAAAAAGATCTTGTCTTTTTCTATTTCCCATGTAGATTAAATCTTCGTAAGTCTCTCTTAGTGTCCTCATTGTTGTCTAAGTTCTCTGGAATTGAATTGTGGTTTGTAGGCTGGCTTTCTTTGCTTTATGTTTAAAAACCACCTATGAGTGAGTACATGTGATAATTGTCTTTCTGTGTCTGGATTACCTCACTCAAAATAATTTTTTCTAGCTCCATCCATGTTCCTGCAAAATTCAAGCTGTTGTTATTTTTTCTGCTGTGTAGTACTCCATTGTGTAAATGTACCACATTTTCCTTATCCATTCTTCGATCAACGGACATTTAGGTTGTTTGCAGGTTCTGGCTATGACAAATAAAGCTGCTATGAACATAGTTGAGCACATGTCCTTGTGGTACGATTGAGCATCCTTTGGATATACACCCAAAAGTGGTATTACTGGGTCTTGAGGAAGATTGTTTCCCAATTTTATGAGAAATTGCCACACTAACATCCAAAGGAGCTGTACCAGCTTGCATTCCCACCAGCTATGCAAAAGTGTTCCCTTTTCCCCATAACCTCTCCAGCATAAGTTGTCATCAGTGTTTTTGATCTTGGCCATTCTTACAGGTGTAAGCATTTCTCTGATGACTAAGGATGCTGAACATTTCCTAGGGACTCCTGCATCTTAAAGGAGTGCTCTATCACTGAGAATATCCCCAGCCCTCATCTCTGCATTTCTAAACACAACTCAGTGATAAGTCTGTAAAAATCTGTTACTTTCTTGCTAGATTAGTCTAAAATCCAAAATTACTTTAAAGTATTTCTTTACAAGTGAAGAGAGAAAGATGAAAGCTAAGAATTTAAAAAAAAAATGAATTTCATAGTTTCAATTCTTCCAAAGCTCTTCTAGTGCAGATTTGGTCTTTAAAACCAGGTTACAGTTTTGTGTCCTATGACCTCCTAAATGGTCACTCGTCACCTGCGTGGAAATAAGACAGTCCTTCACACCAACACAGACTGCCACACAAGCAGGCTGCTGCCTTCTCTTTCATTTTATGTAGATGAATTTTTTGCCTGCATGTATGTACATATGTGTACATACTCCGGAGGTCAGATTTCTTGGAATAGGGGTTCTAGGTGTTTGTGAGTCATTATGTGGGTGCTGGGAACTCAACCTGGGTTGTTCAACAAGTGTTCTTAACCACTTAGCCATCTCTCTAGCCCCCCTAAAGTTAGATTTTTTTGAACATGTCAATTTGAATGCCTTTAAAAATTACTGTAAGACTCATTAAACACAATTGCTACTTGAGGAATACATATGACATGTTTAATTACTAACTACATTTTTTTGTTTCTCCATTTTAACTATGCATCACAGATCGGTTTAAAATGTGCTTGGATTTCTAAACACAAGATGTAATGCATGACTGATGATGCTCATCCCAGCTCCCGCTCACACTCACCCACGCACAAACCCTTCACTGAATCACGTGGAGTCACTGCTGATTTAACTACCACACACTTCACTACTAGATCGCCAAGATGTTTGTAGTTGAACTTTGTAGAGTACTTACACAGTATTAAGTTTCGATTTTCAGGCTTTACTAAGTCAGATCAAAAATTTTCAATTTCAAATCTAGATATTTCTTAAATAGGATGATTTAAAACTAGTTTAATTCAAAAGCTAAAATTTCAAAGTAAAAAATTTGTTATTTTAACTCACTTTTTTCAGAAATGGGAGAAAAAAAATACAAAAGGTAAGGAAGTACTTTTTTTTTTTTAAACAAATTGCAAGGAAAAGAATAGGGCCGAGTGGTGGTGGCATACAACCTGTAATTCCTAGCACTAGGGAGGCAGAGGCAGGTGGATCTCTGTGAGTTTGAACTAGGACAGCCAAGGTTGTTAAACAGAGAAACTGTGTCTCAAAACAACAACAATAAAAAAAATAGGTTTATAGCAGGGCCTAAGTGATCACCTAGAAATTAAGGAATGGCGTCAATGTAGAAGGCAATGTGCAATAGTTCATTTCCCAGAACTCCGAAAAGAACCCTTTTCTCAGAGGGCCTGCACATGAAGACAGCGACAGATGTTTTCTCTGCTAAAGCATTTTGTTTATATGCCTACTAAAGTAGCTCAAAATTGAGATTCATCTGATAAACTAAGAGTCTTATGGTTTCACCATCAATTTCACTACAACGAGAACCAGAAACTACAGAAAGCACTCATCCAGAATATCAAATGAAATGACTTATTGCCACGGTTTCCTTAAAACAAAGCTTGTGGGTTTCCCCCAAAGGAAGAGGCCCTGTGCAGCCTGTGTGAGGCGGCGGTACTGCGGTTCCTTAGCTAAGCACAGCCAGGAGGAATGAAGTCTGCATTTCTGCATGACTTCTCTGACTTGTCAGGGTGCATTAGGGTCCCTAAGGTGGTGCATGCTGCTGCTGAGTTTCTACTCTTGTAAAACATGAGCAGACCTTGGAGAATGCAGATAACCACCTGAAAGTCTCCTGAAGCGGACAGATCCCCAAAACATGTTGTCACTCCTCGTCTGCAGTAACTGACAGCTGCAATCAGATCAAAGCCAGCAAGCAGCTGCTTCCGGGTGGCAGGTACAATTGTGACTACTGTTAAAGATGGCGTCAGTGGATGGAGGACTCAACTCTTTTCGTGCTTTCCAGTGCCACCACCAGCACTGATGCCACACCGATCCTGCACTGTTGATGTGTAAAGGCCCCTGCATCGATAGCTCCCTGTGCAGCAGCAACTTCCAGTTGCGGGTGATGGCTCTGAGTGGGCCAGTTTTGGTGAAGCACAAAACTTTGTGAAAATATACTCTTTGCCAGAATATTCTACAAACTCAATTTGTTAAAAATTTATAGTTACATGAAATACTATAAAGCTAACCTATAGTCTTTCCATTATAATGTGAGTTTGACAAGTATTTAGAGAGCTTGTGTCATACTTACCAAATGGAATGCCTCTGGAGAATGCTGAAAACTAAGCAGCATATGAGAGAGAACCGCAAGAGCACCAGGTCTCACAAGAGGAAACCAAAGTCGATTAAAAACCTGCAGAATGAGAGAGTATTCTCAGAGTTCACAGGAAAAGCACTAGCCTTCCCTCGCTGATAGTCATGTATGTGAGTCTCCCTCTTTCTTTAAAGCCCTATCCTAACACATTATTAGACCTTGCGGGAGAGAAAGGAAGTACAATAGGACTGAAGTCAAAGAGAATGTAACGATCTAAACAATTCTCAAAACTCCCCCATTAAGTGAAAATATGTCCAGATATGTCAATAAGCATATTTACTATGGAGTCACTATTCATTCAGCTTACTCCATCAATAGTACTGAGTAGCTATGATTGTTTGGCACTGTTCCAGGTACTGTAGGTCATATATGAGTTATAGTTAGAGGAAATTAACTAGATAACAAAAAGTAATAAGCATAGATACATGCTAAAAATATGAAGTAGAACACAGTGACCAGGAAACATTGGGTAGCAAAGGAGCTTGTCATTTTATAGAGGTTAAAAATGCCCCAGGAAAAAGGCAACATCTGAGTGGAAACTGAAGGGACATCAGCTTCAGACACTTAGGACAAGAACATTTATAAACTAGGGCAGACAGTACTGCAAAGGCCCTAGGTTCTCCAGACTGGTGTGTCAGACCACAGAGGATAATGTCACTGGAAGTGAGAAATGGGATAAGAAAGGACAGCAAATGGAGCTCTTGTGCAACATTTATAAGGAACCAAAAGCAGGAGCAAGGAAGTTACTGAAATCAGTGCTACAAGAGATGATGGCAACTTTGGACCAAGGTATAACAGTGATGTAATTGGCTAAAACTGGTAGTAGGATTCTGGGTTATTATTTAAAGGCAGTTAGAATTTGTAGGACAGTGATTGAGTCAATAAAGAGAGGTGACGGTTGCATCAAAGACTAGGGCCTAAGAGAGGGGGAGCTATTTGAGATAGTTATCTATGAAGAGGCAGAGGACCAGTTTGGGAGGAAAAAAATCAGAAGACTGTGGATAAGGTGAGTTTAATATTTCTGAGTATAGATAGATAGGCTACTCACTTCTTGAGTTAGTTAACACCCATGTCTTTGGAATATAGTTTAGCTTTCTCTTGCTGCAATAAAAACCTTTTTGGGGAAAAAAAACAACCTCACTTCAAAACACCCCCTCCCTGCAAAAAGAGAAAAGAAGAAAATAAAGAGAACGATCTGAGTGTAGATAACCAAATAAATGTGTGGTGGTTTGAATGAGAATGGCCCCAAAGGCTTAGCCACCAGGGAGTGAAACTGCTTGAGAAGGATTAGGAAAATTAAGAAGTGTGGTCTTGCTGGAGGAAGAATGTTACTGGGGGTGGGCGCTGAGGTTTCAAAGCCCATGCCAGGCCCAGTGTTTTTCCCTTTCTCCTTCTCTCTCTCTGCCTGCAGATCAGGATATTAAGCTCTCAGCTACTGTTCCAGAGCCATGCTTGTTTGCTTCCCACCTTGATGACCATGAACTAACTCTCTGAAACTATAAGCAAGCCTCACTTAAGTGCTTTCATTTATACGAGTTTTTCTTGGTCATGGTGTCTCTTCATAGCAACAGAACAGTAGCTAAGACAAAATGGATATGGAATTCAAGGGCAAACAATGAAATGAAATATAAATCTGTCAGTCATAAAGTTGGACACTTTATTTAAAGCCATAGAGCACCCATGATTACTGCATGGTGCAGAACACTGAAGCATGAATTAAGAGAGAAAGTGGGCCAAAGAAAGTTAGGAGACTGATATCCCAGCAAAAGACAAGAGACAAGAGAGCACAGTGTCCTGGGAATTAAGTAAAGAAAGTGTTTTAATGAGGGAGTGATTTGGCTCAGGATGTGGATCGGATGGAAGTTGCTTAACTTTGATCCCTAGCACCGTGGAAAAACCAAAACCCCAAACAAAAAATGTGGTGATCAATTGTGTCTTGGGTTTAGCAAAACATGAAGTAGAATCTCAGAAGGCAATTAGGTAGAGCACAGTGCTAGAAGTTTGATGATTTGGACTTAAGAGTTCATGGGAGCCGAGCATAGTGCTAAATTCCTATAACCTTTCTATGTGTGTGGCTACGGCAGGAGGATTGTGAGTTGGATGTCAGTCTGACCTCTGTAGTGAGACAGTCTCAGAGAAGCAGAAGATAAAAACACCACCAAAATCATTAACAACAACAAACAACAACCCGGAAAAGCAAACAAAAAAGGGCTAGTAGGTGGATTGTTTTCACATTAAAAAGTTTGAACACAGCAAACTAATTTCAACTGACTATTCCCTACATGGCAATGGCTTTTGCCCCCTAAAACCTATTTAAAACAAACCCAAACTAGGAACACGCTCGGAAGTCTATGCATTCCGATGGGCTGATCCACTTCGACTTACCAGTTCTATTTTCAGCAAAGTAACGTCTATTAAAATAGTAAACTTCTGAACAGCTGCCAGTCCTTTCAGGAGAGCAATTACCCAGGTATCCACATGCTGAGCCAAGGGCCAAGATAGCCAGTCAATCATTCTAAAAAGTGAAGGAAGACATAATTATCAGTACTTCAAATATTTTCAACATCATTCAGGAATAGCAAGAGTTACAACTGATACCCATTCACTTTGTAATTCAAACTGTGGCCTGTCTTCAAGCACTTTCCAGTCTTGTAAGCTGACAGTTTCTTTATTCAATGTATTCCCACGAAAGACTTTATTATAAATGACTATTTCTCATAACTGTCAAGTTTCAAATGAACACTATATAGGAATATATATATATATATATATATCACTCGTTCAATAGTAACTGTTATAAGGAGTTTAAAATCAGACATCTGAACTAAGATGCACGAATATCAACTAAGATTTTGCTTCTTGCTAAGTAGTGTAATGTGAAACATACCATTAAAGCGCCTACATTCTGAATCATGGTGCAAGTGTCTCTACCTCTTTCAAAATTCTACACACAATGACAACAAGGAGAACCACCAATCATAAAAAACACTGTGTAAATATTCTAATGACCTGATTTTCTATTATTGCGTATTTCCTTATATCAAGTCAGTTCAACAGGAAAAAAATGAAGTAATGCGGCCTTTTGTCTAAAGCTAGATATATAGCACACTAAAGACTAGTTCAACTCTTTGGAAAGTAGTCAGGCTATGTAATTGATATAACTGATGAAGTAATCTATTTAGATGGATTAGATACTAATAAAGAGTGAAAAAAAACTTTACAGGTTTCTAGAGTCAAAATAACTGGTTTAAAAATCTCAATTAGTTGACAGAATCTAAACACCTTATTTTCTCTTCCTTAGTTTCTTATCTCTAGGTTATAAATATGCTTATTTACAGGGCTGTTCTGAAGATTAAATGAATGAATAACACTGGAAACACTCATCATGAATGTAACCCTCCACCAATTACTAACCCAGGGAGCAATTATCATCTTTTTAAAAAGTTTATTTATTATTGCTGGTGAGTGTGGTATCATATATATGTCTATGCATGCCTTGACAGACACAAGGAGGACAAAGCATGGGTTCTGAGGAATGAACTGAGGTTGTCAGACTTGCGTAGCAAGTACGTTCATCCCACTGAGTCATCCTGTTTGTCCAGCAATAAACACCTTGATTGTACAAAATTTCAGACACAAATACTGAGGATATAGGCTGTGATCAAAAGAACACTACCATGTTAAAAGCACTGACATGGGCATTATATAACTATCTTAAGACTGGAATATCATCATCAGTCTTTCTCTTTTGGCTTTCAAAACAGGGTCTCACTCTGTTGCCCTGGCTGGTTTTAAACTTGTGGAAATTCTCTTGTCTCAGGGTCCAAGTGAAGGGTTTATAGTAGCGCACAACAATGTTGTTTTGTTTTTCAGATGTAAATGTTCTAAAAAGTATGATGTGTGGATCCCAAATACAAGGCATACTAACTGCCTGTTACATGGGAGCCCTCTATTCCTTACATACATTTTCCTTTTCTTCTTTTTCTGGCTGCTCACAACAATAACTGCCACAAGTCATTGAAGTAGTTGCTAACAGCTACTCTACCATCTACCTATTGCAGGGTTGTTTTTTACAAAAATCTGTAGTCATTATACAAAGAATAAGAAAGAGGCATATGTGCATTTCTTTCAAGTATATACAGGCTCGGGGAAGAGTACATGGTTGGGCTGGCAGTGTGCTTGTTGGTTGACCATGCACAAAGCCTCGGGTTTGATCATCAGCACTTCATAGTGGCACGTGTCTATAAATCCCAGCACTTGAGGAGAATCAGAAACTCAAGCTGATCTTTAGTCATGACTATCAATTCACGGAGGGATGGGGTGCAGTAAAACCAAGCAGGGTGTGGTAGCACACACCTTTAATTCTAGCACTTGGGAGGTAGAGGCAAGCAGAGCTCTGTATGTTAGAGATCAGAAAATGGTACATAACAAGACTCATCTTAAAAAAAAAAGCAAAATAAAAAGTAAGACTTATAGGAGTCTACTCTTGCTGGGAACAAGTCATAGCGGTCAAGCACTTGCCTAGTATGTGCAAGACCTTGGCTTTTATCTACAGTATTGCAGCCCTCACTCCCAAATGTATAATAACCTATCTCCAGCATTGTTTATGACATGGCAAAATTGCAAAAGCCATAAATGGCCACCCACAAGGTAAAAAATAAAATCAATATAAATACAATAAATAATAAATATAAATACATTGTAGTACTGACAATGTAGAATACTGTGGAAGAATTTTAGTACTGAGGAAGTTCTGCACAAAGCTATCCACAGCAATCTAAAATGGAAAGCTATGAGCAGGGCATGGTGGCTCATCTGTAATCTCAGCACTTAAGAGCCTAAGGCAGAAAGACTGCCATAGAGTTTGAGGACAGCCTGGACCATACAGTGAGCAAGCCTGGGCTAGACCAGGGTCTCAACCTGTTCCCCTCACCCCCCAAATAAAATATCTGAGATATTGTTAAATAATGCCAGTAAGTTAAAAACGACGAGTCATTTTTGTGTAAGTGGAAATATGCACATGAAAATAAGGTAGGGTGCGCACCTGTCTTTGGCTCTGTGGATGGCGGCACTGTCAGTGCAGAACATGTGCACAGGAGACCAGAACCCTCATCTCAGTCTAAGGAGAGGATTGACTGGAAGGAGAAGGAGTAATATCCACTTGATAGTAGCTCTTTATTATTGTTAATCACTTATTTAATCGGCCTTTTCCTGGAGTCCTCTTCTAGTTTCTCATCTTATAATCATCTCCATTGCCTCTTTCTCAGGCTCCTGCTGAAATCATGACGAAGGCCCTTCTAACTGGATGAGTGCTCTGATGAAGATACTAAATGTGAGTGCTCCTGCACCTCCCACCATGCAAGAACAAGTGGAAGGATCCATGGTCTTGATCTCAGAATTTCCACCCATCAGGACTGCAAGAAGTATATTTCTGTTGTTTATAAATTACTCAGTCTGAGGTATTTTTTTTTTTAATAGTAGTCTAAACAGATTAAGACAGAGGTCACTCATGGGCCAAGTATTTGAGAGTATATTCTATAGCTAGTAAGGGATAAAAGGCACTGAGAATGCTATGGTTAGATCTCCTTTCTGTCCCTAAACTGGAAGGAAAAAAATGTCAGGAAATCTGTCAACAATCACCAAGCAGTGTTAGCGATGTCTGCACTATGCTCTGGAATATAAAGTGCAATTTTGGGGTTGTACTTTAATTTTAACTGTGGCAGTCCTTTGTATTTTGGCCTTTCTCCTCCAGTGATTGTGTGGTTTACATCTAGTACTTCGGATTCTATCATTTATAGTAAGGGCATTTGTTCCTATAGCTCAGAGAAATACATGCAGCTTTAAAACTGTAACATTAAAACAGGCAATATGATGAAAAGCAACAGAACAGAGTTAATTATAAATTATGGAATATAAAACCAACTTTCACTTTTACAAGGCAGCTTAAGGACTGCATCCAGCTTTCAGTCTTACCTGGCCCAATGCTTTATTAATAGGAAATTTTACACAGACAATTTGACCTCAGGCTTCTTTTGAAAGTTCTGATGAGGCAAGACCAGATTCAAGTTTCTCTGTATCGACAGACACCTGGAGCTGAAGCCTATCTTTCTCTCTCAGAAGTTATTTATGCACCCCAGTCCTCATTGTTTCACTGACTCCTGGCCTGTTTCACACTTGAATGTTATTCATGGTCTTGAAATATATTTACATTTGCCCAACTACAAGACTAAGACTACTGTAACAAAACGGGTTTGATTTCCACAAATGGTAGAGGCAGAGGACAAAGGACTTAGTGATATTAATCAAAGAGAGTAAGAAAAGAACGGAGTTACACTTACTTCTATATTTGTGATCTGAGACATTAGAAGCACAAGTTACAGGTTAATTGGTTCCACAAGTTAAAGAGCACAAAGAAGAAGAAGCTAGGTGCGTCTGTGCTGTAGAGAGCTTAGCACTTTCTGTGTGCTCAACATAAAAAAACCTCAGTTCATGTAACTGTAACAACAGAGACAGAAGCCACTGTAATCCTCACCTCCTGTCTGAACAGGCTAACACAGGAAAACTCAAGAAACAAAATTAAGCAGCTAAAAAACAAGAGCTGGAACAAGCACTACAGATGGGTAGTACTTCACAGAGAAGAATGAGCAGATTTGAGGACAAGGCAGGGACTTCCTGACTTATGACAGGTTCTGGAGACTTTTGCAAATGGGAAATACCGTAAGAAGTAAAGCCTTAAAAACAACATACCAAACATCCTGACTTAGCAACACTGTCCAATGTAGTGTACTGGGTGCTTACCCTGCTTGAGTGGCTGATTTGGAGCTGTGGCTCGCTTTGTCTATTAGCATTTCAAAAAAGTATCATACTTTATACTCTAGCCCAGGAGAGAGGAATTCAAAATTCAAAGCATGGCTTCTACTGAATGCTTGTTTTGGCACCATCAGAAAGTTGAGAAATCATAAACTGAGCCAACCTAAGTCAGATACTCTCTGTGCTGGTATGTCCCTCTAATACCCAAGGCCTTGCTTCCTTTTTTACTTTAGTGCACAGTCACCTCAATGAACCCTTCCTTAGCCATCGTACTGAAAACTGCAAAGCACTTACTTACAGCCTACCTCTTATTGTCTACCTTTCCTGATAAATACTTATTATCATTTAACATACTAAATTATTTACTAAATGTCCAAAGATAAAATTTAAACCCCAAACAAAATCAACTTAATTATTTAGCAGTAGAGCAAAAAAGCCAGGCCTGTCTAACTTGGGCACCCATTACTACACGTTTTTACATTTTTAAAATCAGGATGCATGCTGGAATCATGAAGTATTACTACATTACTGTTGGTCTGTCTGACTATAAAGGAAGCTCATCAAAGTATTTATATTGACCAGTTTGCTCAGGGTATTTTGGGCGCTGTCTGACACCTGCTAAGGTGAGTCACTTTAAATGAATGCCTGCATACAAGCATCAAGTGCTGCAAAGGGCAAGTCAGTTTATCTCTAGACATGGGAGATGAGACTGCACATCATTTAGGATAAGAAGAAAAATGCTCTCAGAAACACCCGACAATCAGACTGGCAACAGCTCCCAGAGCAAACAGCAGATGCCCAACAGCTATCACTTTAAAAATGTTAAAAGAAAACAGCTATCAAACCAGAATTCTGGATCTGGCCAAGTTCATTTAATTATGAATAAGGGAGAGAAAACAAATTCCAAAGAAGCAAAGGTAGAGAGGCTGGAGAGATGGTTCAGTGGTTAAGAACATTTGTTGCTCTTGCAGAGGATCTAGGATCAATTCCTAGCACACACCTACTGGGTTCACAACCACCCATAACCCCAGTTGCAGCTCCTCGGACACCAAGCATATGGTACACATACATACATGAAGACAGAACACACGCATAAAATAAAATCCCTATCTAGTTAAAAGGAACAAACCCAGAACCAAATAACAGTAACAACCACCACCCTACACGAAAGTCTACAGGAAATGATAAGGAATAAAGATTCCAGAAAAAGCCAACCAAACAATTTCAGATGAGCTATAAAAAGATAAGTCATTCAGTTAATTTGGAGAAACTACTAATATATTTCATGATTTCAGTTTTAGAAATTTCCCCAAGTTTTCCACTATTCATACAAAAAGGCAGAATACCGTCTCCTCTCGGTGTTAACATCTGGCACACACACAAAGTACCTGCAGAGAGCCTGGGTCATACTGGCGTCTTTTACATTCGGGTCGGCGGTCAGGCTCCGGATGAGGACCGTGATCATCTGCAGAGGAATATGCTGCACAAGGCTGGCCAAGGCGACCGAGGGCTCAAAGGATGCATCTAGTTTTAGTTAGAAAGATAGGTAAATATGGCAAAGAGGCTCAACGTCAACTAGTTAAAGGGAAAAAAACGACACGCGCACTTGTAGCAAAGGCGCTCTAAGAAGTTGTTATAACTCTGAATTGAAAGTTAATCACAGAAAATATTTAGTGGTGCACAGCAATAATCACTCATTCGAAAGACAACCGTGAATTACAAAAACTACTGCTAACGTTAGTCAATAACCACTGTTAATGGTTTAGATACTGTTTTGACATGTAGCAATTAGAAAAAATAATACAACCAGTCATATATCATTCTAATATCTAGGTCAGCGGTTCTAAAATAATTAAGAAATATTATAGTAGTTACTATACTACTCTAAGGGAGACTTACAAATCTTGAGTAGAAATTAAGGGGAAGGGGCTGACTTTGCTTACATTAAAATGTCAGGATTATGATGAACAGCTTCACTACTACAGTTTAAAGACGTGAAACAGAAATCTAACAACTATGACAAACTACCAGTAAAATTACAGGGAGGGGAAGCTAATGGACCTGGTATTTTACATTGTATGAGCTTTTAAAACTCGACCCTCATTTCTGGTTAAGATAAAGAGGGCAGCTTTACAAGTGCAGTTTGACTGACAGATTTTAAAGCCAGTCCAAGGACAGACACATAGAATTCTTAGGTTAAGTACAATCCTTTGAACGTTCCAGTTTCTGAGGATGCAGCTGGTTGGTGATAAAGACAAGACAAGCATCCACCTAGGCTGCCAAACGGCCCACGTCATACTTCACATCTATTTCCATGCCACCTGCACCTCCTGTTACATACATGTTATGGAGTGAAAATGACAACACATTAGAAACACTACACAGTAAGCCGGGACAATCCTATAATGGACTGTGCACGACCCATGAGTTTTTAAAAAATGAGAACACTGAAAAACTGAAAAACAACTCCAGTAAGATAATAGTTACATACAGTAATAACAATGTGGTGAGCATCAAACGAGACCATTAGTCAGTAATGACTAGACGCTTTCCATAATGGCTGTCAGCCTGGAAGCATTCCGAAACTGGAGCAGAGGCTGCGTAATTAAGTGACTTGCTCAGTGACAAAGGTCTTCGGACTTAGGCTCCTCAACCTTTCGGCTACAGCGTACGATTCTGAACAGGGCAGTGGAGTGGAATAAAGTTTTGGATAAGGCGTTTGGATTTGCTCTCCATCAAGAATGCCTCTTCCTGGAGGATTTCCACAAATAAGAAGGTATGCTTGCTGACCCGCTAGTCCCCCAAAAGAGAATGTTTCCGGGCAGAAAGTGAGGTACATTTGAGACACGGGTCGAATCTCCAAGGCATATTTTCCTGCAATAATGACCCTTACCTGTGGAAGAGATGCTTGCAAAAACTTCTTGCAGAGAAGGTAGCAGCGTGGAGGGCTCGGCCTTCCAGATATTTTGGAGTAAGTTACTCACTTTTGTTACCTGGGAGACATACTCCCGCAGCTCCTTCTCCTGGGTGGACACACACTGGAAGTGCCCTATCGTTCGAACCAGCTGTTGACAGAAGGTAATGGCCAGTTTCCCTTTGGGGACGCACTGCACGAAATCCGTCAGAAGGTCGCTGAGGCGGGCACAGAGCTGCGGCTCCGGCCTTTCACAGACCAGGCGCAGCACCTCCACCTGCAGCAGGCTGAAGAGGTCCAGCACCGACGGGCAGCTCATGATCAGCTTCAGGCCGTTGTGAATGTAGTCCAGGATGGCTACGTCCTTCCTGTCCAGTGAGTGGTAGCCCTGCTGAAGGAGGCCCAGCACGAAGGTCTTGTTGAAGAAGGACTCGAACTCCGGCCGGTGGTACCGCGCGTAGGCCTCCAGCACCTGGTGGCCCACTTGTCGCTGGAAAGGGTCCGGGCCCTCCAGGATGAGACGGGTCGTCAGGTCAAACATGGCCTCGCACTGCGCCCCGTCGAGCCAGTGCTCCGCGGACTCCACCACCTTCCGCACAATCATCCGCTTGAGGGGCAGAGGATGAGAGGAACTCACCAGGCCCTCCAGGATCTTGTCCATCGTCGCCACGCTGCAAGGCCAGGCCCAGGGGAAAAGGAGCTGGCGGCGGCAGCCCCGGGGGGCAGCAAAGCGCCGCGGCGAGGGGGAACTCGGAACAGAGCAGCAGCAGGTCCGGCCACCGCCAGCGCCGCCTCAGCAGCCACATTTATCGAGTGCGAGGGCCCATCCGAGCCGGGACGGGAGCGGGCGATTCCGGGGCGCCTGAGGGTTGCCAGTCCCCGCGCTTCGCCTGGGGCGCCGGAGGCCCGCACACCGCAGCTTCACCGGGCCCGCGGGCGCTCTCAGCAGGCGGGACCCCGGGACCCCGGGCTGAGCCGAACGGTGAGGGGCGCCTCGGCGTCCAGGCTCCCGCCGGTGGGCAGAAGGAAGCCGTCCCGGGCTGAGTCAGGTGGCGCTGTCACCGAGAGCACCGCGAGCGGCCAGGGAGAGGAGCCGGAGGCGGCGGACACCCTTGACCCGGAAGCAGAAATACCGGCAAACAGGAAGTGAAGCTGAGAGGTACCCCAGCTAGGTCCGCCCTCGCCCCACCCACTTTCTTCCGATCTTTTCTCTTCACCTACATTCGACCCTCTTCTTTCTAGCCCCGCCCCTTCCCCGCCTCTTGCCCCCATCTAGCTCCTCCCCTCCCTTCCAGGCCGCGCCTCCTTCCCTGACGCGCAGGCGCCGCGGTGCCGAGTAAATCACGCGGTCGCTTTCGCATCACTGGAGGAGGGCGACGTCATAGGCGGGGTCTCGGAAGAGCCGCTCCGGGAGTCCAGGGCGGCTGTCGCTTCTTCAGCTTCTTGTCGCCTTACTTCGGGTCTGTCAATGTTGCTGCTTAGGGACCCAGGGACCCAGAGACCGCTGAGCACCCCCGGATGGGGAGTCTCTGCGACTGCCCGGAGAAAAGCGCTTCCCCCGGAGAGGCCCGGATGCACTTTTAAAGGCAAAGAACACAGAAAAGCTACGTCCTTGTTAGCAGTTGGCTGGGGGAGTAAAGTAAGCAAACAGTTTAATAGAAGCCAAAACGTGCAGTTAGCTGGGGCATTTCCCCGAGTTTCTAGAACAGAATCGGGTAGAGAGGACTTTTCACGGTGGAGATAGTTTCAGTTTAAGCCAAGTATGGCGCCAAAGACAAGATGGAGGAACCTTTTACCCTATCACGGCCGGAGTCATGATGCTTACGAAACTCTGAGGAAGTCCTGCTTATTTAAAAATCTTCTGTCTGAGAAAGTTTTGGAAACTCGAGAAGAGCATTGGGTGAGGAAGTGAGGAAAGTATAAGACTAAGCATACGTTTTCAGAAATTTTTGAAAAGACCGTGTTGGGTCAAGACATGCTTCAGTCCCTAAATGACTGAATTTTCCCCATGAATTAATTGCTAAAGTAAAAACAGTACTGGTAGCTCATCCATTGAGCGATGATTCGAAACAAGGTTGTGATAAAAAATACAGTCTTGGAGTTTTGTATCCTGTGCACAGTGTATAAGCTGCGCCCCAAGTAGCCTGGAGGGTAACCTTGAATGGAAGTGTGTATATGTGTCTGTATAAAAGGGCACTTTTGAAAGTGGACTTGACGGTGCCATAAAGTTTACATTAAAGATCTTCTACAGCGAGGAAGGACCGGTGAGGTCATCCTACATGTTCCTTTCAAGTTAAGTCCCAAAGATTTTAAACTCTAGGTGTGGGCTTGTGACCAAGTGGTAAGAGTACCTGACAAGGTCCTGGATTGGACGCCCTTGTACGGAAACAACCAAAAACTTTAATCATAGGCTTTTAGTTTGGAAAATGTTGCCTAATTCTAGCTTCCTTCAACCTCGTGTCATATAGCTGTGAAATCAGCCATGGTTGGTTATTTTCTAAACCTTTATAGTATCCAGTAGGAAGAAGAGGTAACTTGTTTCTATTTTACTCTAGTGTTTCTTTTAAGTTACAGACATGATCACAGCAATATATGTAACACACCCATTTCCATAATACTAAAGATAGCAGTTGAGGGGTGATGGGAGTGAATGGGAACTGGAGATTTGGTTTGTAGGAAGAGATGGGGAAAAAGAGGTTGGATCTAGACCCAGGAATGGCTTTCAAACTCCTTTTTTTTTTTTTTTAAGTAGAAGATAAAGCCGCAGAGAAAAGTTTGCTTGTTTTTCCTGCAACATTTGAAAACAAATACAGCAAACAAATTCATTGTACATTGGTTGTTGTTTTTGCCCAGGCTGCCCTCAGAAGGGTTTAGTTGAGGGTTATCTTGACGTCCTTTTTCTCTGCCTTCCAACTCTCAAGTGCTGGGCCTGCCTGCCTTTGCCACTATTCACCATTTTATGAAGAACATAAGCACAGAGTTCTGCTTCTAGGCATATACCTCGAAGATTAAAAGCAACGACTAACAATACATCAGTGCTCCTGGCATCATTATTTAAAATAGCCAACAGGTGAAAACTATTTGTGAACATATGAGTGGTTAAGTAAAATGTGATACATGCATGCAGAGGGACATTAGTTAGCCTTAAAAGAATGAAATTTTGGTACATGAACGAACACTAGCCACACCGAAGAAGCTATTCACAAAGCAATAATACAGAGTGAGTCCATGTGTGTGCGGTAACTAGAGTAGTCAATAGAGACAGAAAGATAGAGGTTTCTAGAAGGATAAGGAAGAGAGCAGGATATTTGTTTAGAGCATGTTCATTTCTGCTTAGATAAACAGTTCTGGAAACGAACAGCAGTGGTAATTGTATGATGATGTGAAAATATTTTGCCACTGAACTTACCTCTTAATGTTTTATGGTTGGGGATCAGTTAGCAGAGTGCTTGCTTGCCTAGTGTGCATTAAGCCCTGGGCCTCAGCACTTGGTAACCGGGGTATGGTGGTACATGCCTATAATACCAACACTCGGGAGGTAGATGCAGGAGTACCCGGAGTTTGGTGTTATCTTTTTTAATATAGCTCAGTCCAGGCTATATGAAACACTAAAAAGGATATATAAAGAAGCAATCCAACTAAGAGTGATCAAAATATATGAAACATTTAATAGAAAAGAGCATACAGAGGGCAAATAAGTATAGGAAAAGATATTCAGTATCATTAGCCACAAAAGCAACGCAAATTAAACTAAGGTACCACAGCACACTTGTTAGAGCCATGAACTTTAGAATTGGTGACAGTTCTGGGTAGGATGCAGAAAAATAGGGTTATATTACTGGTGTTAGTACAAAATGGTTTAGCCCCTCTGAAAATTTATTTGGCAGTTTCCTTTCGGGTCTCGTTATATAAACCCTGGTTTGCCTCAACTTGTAATCTTTCTGCCTCAGCCTCTCAAGACCTAGAATTGTAGGCATACTTCCTACATCTGTCTTCTTTGGCAGCTTCTTAAAGGTAAATATGGTGGCTGGAGCGATGGCTCAGCAGTTAAGAGTGCATACTGCCAGCATTTGGATCGAAGTCCCCACATTGGTTGTCTCACAGAAGCCTGTAATTCCATCCAGTTGCAGACAGATCCAATGGCTGTGGCCTCAGTGTGCATCCACAGGAAAGTGCACATGCTCACCTCTACCTCCAACGTGCACATACATACACCCACCTCCACCCCCGACATGACATACATATACCCACCTCCACCCCTGACATGACATACATATACCCACCTCCACCACTGACATGCAATACATATGCCCATCTCTACGTCCAACATGAACATACATACACCCACCTCCACCCCCGACATGCACATACATATACCCACCTCCACCCCCAACATGTACATACATATACCCACCTCCAATCCCAACATGTACATACATATACCCACCTCCACCCCCAACATGTACATACATATACCCACCTCCAATCCCGACATGTACATACATATACCCACCTCCACCCCCGACATGCAATACATATACCCACCTCCACCCCCGACATGCACATACATACACCTACCTCCACACCCTACATGCACATACATACACCTACCTCCACACCCTACATGCACATACATATACCCACCTCCAATCCCGACGTGCACATACATACACCCACCTCCACTTCCACACAGACATATATGCATAACCTCAAAAATTTCTCAAAATTAAGCGTGCAGTTATCATATGGCCATGTCGCTGAACTCCAAGGTATTTATTTTAGTGAAATGAGAACATGTATTCAAATAAAAATAATCATACGCAGATGCTTACAGTAGCTTTATGTGTAATAGTAATCTATGGAATGGTTAAATTGGATAAATAAACTTTTATTCAAAACATAGACTATTAACAAGAAAAAGATGGTGGTGGTTCACACCTTTAATCCCAGTGTTTGGGAGTCACACACTTTTAATCCCAGCACTAGGGAGGTGGAGACAGAAGCAATATTGCTGGGCTAAGAGAGAGGAATTTAAAGGGGAAGAAACAGGAAGTATAGAGTCTGAGGATTCGTGGAGACAGGATCTTGCTCTTTTGATCTGAAGATTTGGTAGAGGTGAAATGTCTCTTTAGTGGTTGGCTGTGTTGGACCCTAGAGTTGAATCACTGAGGAGGAGTTGCCCCAAGAGACCATCTCTCACACCACAGCTTATGTAAAAACATGAGGATTTTATTAATTCTGTCATGACAGGGTCTTCCAGCATTAGAGAGGCCAGAAAGACCCCGAACAGCTGGTACAGGCTACTTTTAGAGGAAAAAGCCACATAAGCAAGGGGGCTTTTAATGATTGGCTTATTCAAAAGGGCTAGTACCAATAATTGGCTGGAGAGCAGTTGCCAGGTAAGAGGAAACATCTGAGGGTCACTTTGACCCCTTTCCTAGGGGCTGAGTCAAATCAAGTCTCTGGGAGGCCTCCCACCTGGTGTACATCTGGAACTGAGTCAACATCTTAAAGGTTATCTTGCCCCAATTTCTGGAGAACATTCACAAAGACTCAGGGAAATGGAAAGTTCCCAACATTTCAGTACGTGTGTGGGTAATTGTTAGATTCCTGGTTCCCAGGGGAGGGGGAGCACTACTGCTGAGAGGCCTCGGAGTTGTCAGAAATGGCTTTAGAGTTATTTTAGAGTTCTACAGGCTGCTTTGCTTTTCTGATCTTCAGGGACCCCCCCCCCCCAATGCCTCACAGATATGCTCGAGTTGTACTTTACTAATCTTTAGGCGTTTCTTTCCTGAAATTGCTTTTTGAGTGTCTCTCTACATAGCTCTGGCTGTCTTGGAATTCACTGTGTAGACCAGGGTGGCCTCAAGCTCACAGAGGTCTGTCTGCTTCTGTCTCCCAAGTGCTATGATTAAAAATATGCAACATGCCCAGCGTTCCTAGGGGTTTCTTAAGCCATTCAAGCTGGCAGCTAAAACTGACCATCTCACCTATCTTCTGAGGACACTTTGCCAAACTAATGCAAGAGCCAATTATTTTATAAAATATCCTCATAGTGTCTTGTATTTCTACATTTACCACAATTATATTTCAATGAGTCTTATTTGTCTTTCTT